AAAAATGTACTTTAAATTATATTTAAGAATAATAAGAAAAGTATTTTTATTTATTCAATTTTGATACTCGTTGAAAATTAAACCAATATATAAGGCTTTACGAGCCATTCGCAGGATGTTTGAGCGGAAACTGTACGTGTATATATACAGGGTGTCCCAGAATTGGTTTAACATCTCTCGTAGGCAGGAAGAAGGAATAAAACTGAGTCGAAAAGTCCTATACTATTTTGCTAGATTCGCAATAGTTACTGAGATTTTAATTAACAAAGATCCGCGAATAAGCATGCATCGGGCTGTCTTACGCGCGCAAGACTGCCCGCCGCGCTTCGCGCGTTAACGGTGTTACCCATAGCGACATATAGGAGGAGCTAATATAACAGCATATACTATAACATATACATATTAAAATGTAATTGTGTGAAGCGCGCCGGGGTGTCCTATGCGCGTAAGACAGCCCGATGCACGCTTATTCGCGGATCTTTGTTAATTAAAATCTCGGTAACTATTGCGAATCTAGCAAAAGGGTATAGGACTTTTCACCTCAGTTTTATTCTTTCTACCTGTCTACGAGAGATGTTAAACCAATTCTGGAACACCCTGTATATACACATGTAACGTATTCAACTTGTAAATTTTTACAAGTGAGTGTTTTTTTGAGTTGAAAACTCAATTCTTAAATTCATACGGGATGCTGGATTTGCATCTCACATATGACAGACCCCGGATACCCCCCTAACTAATTTTAAAATATTGCGAAAAAAACGCAATATTTTTTAAGGCCTTATATATTGATTTTATTTTTATTTATTGTTGCAGGTACATTGCATTGCAACATTTTTAGTAAAATAATAATTAAAATAAATNAATGAAATGTAGGATAGCTTGAGAATAAATACATAAAAATAATTATATGTTAGCGAGGAACACAAGTGGTCTCGCGGACTGAGTGCAAGGGCTGCGAATATGGTGGAGGTCTCGAGTTCAAATCCCGCTATCACATTTTAGGATTTTTTCAGATTCGGTCTTTTTCAATGGAGTTCATCGGTTGATCAACGAGCTGAATCAGGCTTCTAGAAATTAATTCCAGTAAAATCTCGAATTAATTCCTTTCCGATAAGGCGATATACCACTGATTTTCTTTTTTTTGTAGTAATTCCACTTGGATTCTAGGGAACAGATCTGATCTGCGTTTGGTAGCAATCTGTCGNCGCGATTTTGGCGCCAACAAACGATCACCAAATCTGTTCTGGATTTGGTGCGTCACTTTGGCTTTGCTTTGCTAGTGGCAGACTTGTTATGATTTTGGTCTCATTTTGACATCTCACATGTTTGACAGATATGGTCGCCAAACCATATCCTACTGAGGACACAGATGGATATGGACTTGGTCTACTAATTTCGCCGGCGGTTGGCGACAAAACTGCGACATCTCGCAACCAAATTGTTTGCTGGGTAGATACCTTTTTATCTGTTTCATCCTCAGATTCAGAACTAGAAAAGAATCGATTAGGTCGTTTCCTGTTTCGAGGTTTACTATAGTCAGTATCAACATCCGTTCCTGCAACTTTATCCTCTTCCACAGCTTTGTTTCTTGCCTTTCGTGCCACATTGTAAATAGCTGCAAAAAAGATCACATGACAAAGATGAAATTATCATTTACATGACAGCAAAATTGTGTTTGAAGAAAATACTTTACCATAACTGTGATGGAAGTGAATTGGTAGAAATTCCCAAGTAGCACTGTCATAGTCGGCTAGACTCATGACTAACTTCGGGAGCTTAGCTTTCAGAGAAGATGGTGGATAATAACAATGCTCCATATCACTGATCCATTTTGTAGAGACAACTTCTACAAAAGTATCCTTTTTATTATTATCTTCAACACTCGGTATAAACTCCACCACAGAATACTGAAAAAAAAGAAAAAAAAATCAACCAAGAATAAGATAAATTGCAACTGAAAAACTATGACAAAGAAAACATTACATTACCCAAAATTTACTGAGGGCCACTATGAACAAGAGGGATACAAAGAAAAGTATCACCATCAGGAAAAATAACCAATTTACGAAAAAAATCTCGCTGGGAATAAATACTTCTTACTGGATCTAAATGTGACACTTCAAACACTCCAAGAGATGATGATGGAAGAGGATAGTTATAATAATCTGATTTTAAAAGAAATTTGTGACCAACCAACAATATACTCCCATCAACTGTTTCAATAGCTTTTTTAAAAACAACTATATCTCCATTTTTTGTGGAGAAGCAGCAATTAGCTTCATCTGCCATAAGAGTTATACTTTTGAAAGAAATTTGAGCATAATAATTGCCAGGAATTTCAGGTATATCTCTATAAACTTGTTTATTTAAAATAACATTATTAGGATTAATTTTTCTTGAGTTTGTCTTCAAGAAACCTTTTGTTTCAAAATCCCTGTTAGCAAGCTGTTGAAGAGGCTTGTAAGTTGATCTCAAACAATGTTTGATTACACTCAGAAAAGATTCATATTTAAAAGCACTGAAATCCATGATAGTCCCATTGTCTTCACATTCAGCAGCCATGTGGCTAAGACAGTGAACATTGTAAGATACAAATGACTCATCAAATACCTCAGTAGAGTGCCTTATAAATTCACGATACATGTTATCAGCTATGACAATCCACTCATAATTTTTCACTAATGTAGGAAATGTGAAAGAATGTATGAAGCACAATGGATCAATAGAAAATTCTTGTACGTATTATCATGAAGTCGGTGTTTGAAAATGCGTACTCCATCGTACAGAAGTATTCGCCTCCACTCAGTAGCTTTGAACTTTGCTTGGTAATAGAATGTTCTGGGCCTTCTACTGAATTCCATTGGAACCCAGGGAGCTATTTCAATCATGTCAGAACATATGTTGAACCAACTTGCACTGAAATTCTGCCATTGGTTAGAGCTTGCAGACCAAAAAGATACTGAACCCATCTTTTAAATGCACCTTCAAAAAGAAGGTGCATTGAATCTAATCGAAATTGTGAAATCATCCGATTGTTGTTACTTCTCATTTTTTCTAAAGGCGAAACTCCATCATGATAATCAGGCTGTTCTCTTCTTAAGAAAGATTCATCAGTGCGAAGGGGAGCATTGAGATCTAAAAAAACTTGTCGATTTTTAAACCGATGTCCAGCAACTGTGCATTTGTCGCATCCATATCTGCTATTGTGATTCATAACGCACTTAATATACTGCCTAGCTATGGCATCAAGAATATAATTTCTGATCTTGAAGGGAAATATGGCTCCATGAAAGTTATATCCATTCTGAGCCAACACATCAACTTCTTGAACAAAATCTTCCAGATATTCATCAACACTTTCAGGTTTCTCTACACCATGCCAAATACCTATGATAAAAGGATCTGCTTCATCTTTAAAATACCCCAAAATAGGCCAGAAGTGATCGTCAGTACTTTTAAATAACTGTAAACCATCAATGTTTATATCTATTATTATTTTCTTGTGTTTGAGCAAGTAATCATCTGTCACCCTTTCATTTAAACAGGTAGTGATGCCCTTGTACCACATGAGTCCTTCCCCCACTGGTTGAACATCTACTCGTCGAGAAGTATGCAATAAAGTCTTGTAACATTTGGGCAATGAACCATGTAGACGCTTTAATCCAACAAGAAGTTCATCGACTTTCCTAAGTGAGACACCTCGCATGGCCCATTGTTTCAAGAAATTAAAAAGATACTCATCAACATCCCTAACTTCCTGATTATCAATTTGATGTATAATAACAAAATTCTCATTAAAATCTGTGCTGCCTTTATCTTCAGACTGGATGATGTCCACATCTTCATAAAGAAGTTTATCTTGCTCATCTAGTTCTCTGACACCATGATCATCATTCTGATCATAGTCTTTCTGTTCGTCATTAATGTTTTTATCATTGTTGGCGTGAACCACATCATCCACTGCTTGCTCAAGTTCAACATCAACTCTCTCATTCTCTGCATGTTCTTCAGCATCAACAGCTAAAATGGCCTGCCTGACTTCTTCATTTCGAAGACGCCTATTGACCTCTTTGACTGAGGTAGCGTGTATCCAGTTTCGAATCATTTTTCAATGCAAATCACAAGCATATCATCAAATGGCCACAC